AACTGAAATTAAATGAACTGAAAGGTAGACAATCTCGAAAAGTGTTTCAGCTTTATGTATGTCTATGTATGGCCCTGTGATGGAGTATGCAGCTATTGGCAAACATGTCAAGCTCTGTATAAACCACCTGAGACATAATGTCTTCAAATGTTCTCTTATAAAACTCGTTTGAAGCGTGATTGCTTCATTGTCCAACTCCACAGATGCTTCCTGAGGATTTAGAACAAGCTGCAAAGCACTGATTACACACACACAAAAAAGGCCAGAGAAATGGTTCATGATCTGAAGCATACCACATTATTTATCAGTTTGTCCGTCTGATTGCGTTAATGCATGTACTGTATATCAAGAGTGGTTCAGCATCAGTTAAATTATGTGCACAGTGCATACTTGGACCTAACAGTCTGATACAGCTTTGGCTGAATTGGGTATCCCTGAATCATCCCTTAGTTATGCAACTATAGGCTCACACTGCTGTGGGTGCTCCTGTGGTACTCTGATGTGGTTTCAGTACCACTGCCATGTGGTTTCTGTATCAGTACAGAATGTTACATTTCTGCCTTCTCTCTCTTTGCTCTTGCTTTCTTCTTTTCTCTTTCCCCTCACTCCCCAAACAGTCATAGCAGATGAATGCCCATCCCCGAGCCTGGTTCTGCCTGACATTTATTCCTGTAAAAAGGGAGTTTTTCCTTCTTATCCTAACAAAGTGCTTGCTCATAAGGGGCCAACTGATTGGTGGAATTTTCTCAAGTATACTCTTTACCTTAAAGTACGTAGCGGCTTGAAGCAACTGCTGGTGTGATTCAGCGTTAGCTACACAAAAATGAATTGAACGTCCCTTCTGTGCAGTTACACTCTGCTCATTTGCGGATTTCTGCATTCTGAGCCAAATCAAAGAAAGGAAAGTGAAAGTCAAAATACTTTTACTGAATATTGCAGTTATTATCTTATTTACAGGAATCAAAGCTTTAACAAATACATTCCAAATAAGTGCCCAAAAAGCAGGCTCCTTGCAGAAGTACAGCTACTGAGCATGCCTGAATATTTCCTCTGCTGCTCAGTGTTGCTGTGTGTGAACAATCAGAGCCTAGATTTTGCTTCAGAATATCCACTCCACGCCAACATTTGGTTCGCCACATAAAAATAGATGCACCTCTGTGCCTTAAGAATTAACCTCAGAATCAAACACTGCTAGTGTATCTACTCTGGTCAAAAAAACACGCTTCATACTAACGTCCACATTTCAGTTTATTTTCCTCTCACAATGCTGAAGCATCGTGAAAAACAGAGAGAAATAAAATCATTTCAATTTTACATATGACATCCATCTCAGAAACGTGTTCCCTTTAACAGAGTACGTAAGTGCTTAGCAAAGTTAATGCGCATAATTCTACTGTTGAAGTCTGCCGTGTTATCGTTCTGTCTCTCCCGCTCACAACTTCCGGTTCCTGTGACTCACGGAGGCGGGGACTGTTCGACAACAATTTTATCAGAAAAAATTTATTTAAAGAAATGCATCCATAAACTTGTAAATTATCTTGTGGTGTTTCACTATAATTGTACACAAATATAAAATAAACAAAAAGAAAATAAACAGAAATCAAAATGACGATTTCACATACCAGCTTCTGGTGTTGTCATGGCAACCCACTCAACGGCATTTCAGCGTGGCTAGGTGGCTTTTATTGCCTCTGAATATTTATGAAAGCTACCTATGGCTGAAAGGTTTTTTTAAACAGTGTTCATTACTCCCAACTGTCTTTACAACAAGAGTTTTTTCTTACACTGTAAAAAAAAAAGTAAAGAAAGGTCAAAACAACAAAACAAAATACTGCAGCATGAAAATGTTCCACAATGATGGAAAAAGTCACACGAGTCTGTTGTTTAAAATTTGTAGTGTTTGGTCATGCTGAGATACTGAGCTGTGAAGTTCTCTGTTAAAACCACCAGCATACATCAATTCCTGTCACCTGTCAATCTGTTGAACACACCCAGGAGTATATGTAACTCCACACTGTAATTAATTAAAAAATTTTAATTTAAAATTTTTGCAACTTTTATTGAAAAACAACTAGCTGTCAATCCATCCACCCTTTTTGTCCACCAAATTATCCTTAATTGTCTCAGCCCTTTGGATCCCGTGTTTAAATGTGCACACCACATCAGATGTTCCACGAACCAACACAGCCAACTTCAGTTTAGTTTTTTTCCACTCAGTAATATATGAATTCTGCTAGTGGCACCTCTGATTAAGCTGTGTAAGCTAATGTTTTTGTCAAAACTGATTAAAATACCAGAGTCATGCAGTGCATTTCCAGCAGGTCAGTTCTGGTCAAATTATAGACGTCAGAGTCAACATAAGCACAGAGCTCTGCTTTATTTTGGCTCATAACACAGAAGATGTGTTGTTTTCTGTTTTGGAGATAGTGAAAGAAAGGGAGATTTGTGTGTAGTAAAGGCATTTTTAATTGTTCTGCAAACAGCAGCACTGACTTAACTACTGTTAGGTAAGTTTGTGGTCAGAGGGCCCGGTGGCGCCTGTGTCCGGCAGCCTCGCCTCTGTCAGTGCGCCCCAGGGCAGTTGTGGCTACAATGTAGCTTGCTATCGCCAGTGTGTGAATGTGTGTGTGAATGGGTGGATGACTGAATGTAGTGTAAAGCGCTTTGGGGTCCTATGGACTAGAAAAGCGCTATACAAATGCAGGCCATTTACCATTTACCATTTGTGAGGTATGGGCTGTAAAGCTTTCTTAAGTCTCCTGCTTGCAGGTGTCACTCCTCCTTCTCCAGCCGGGGATCTGATTACTAGATCTTAAGCCCTTCTGTTCTCTTCCTATGTACTGAGAAAGCCTGACCTTGGCCTACTGGCGGATTCTTTCCTGCTCACGATAAGATGGATAGCCTATCCAGTGAAGTGCAAGTAAACGAGTCCACACGAACCTGTATGGTGTGAACTTGCAGTGACATGCGGGGGAAGCCCTGCGTAGTGTTTACACTACAGGAGCTGTTACAAGATTCAGGTATCAGAAGCGTCATGTTATCCAAAAGGGCCTATACAGAACAGCTCCGCCCATTTATCTTTCCACGCAAACCACGAGGGAGTGCTCTTCAGCTCACCAGCAGGTGTTTGATGTGTTTTTGTTTAAAGTGAATTAATGAGTTAGAGAAAAGTGGCCTTTGTGAATTGAACAAAAGAAGCAAACGTGAATTAAATAACTGCTATACAGGG